TGCTGGTGGGCTTTGCTGGCCCCCTCCGGGAGGGGCACGCGGCCCGCAACGCTGGCCTGTACGTGCTCGACAACCCGGTCGGTGTATTCTTGTCGAGCCGCCAAGCGCTCCGTGAACTGCTGCTGGCGTGCCGCGAGCTCGGTGAGATGTCGGATGATCTCTTCCATTTCCCAGGAGAGAGAGCGGTACTCCTAGAGTGATCACACAAGACAACCTGGCGTTAGCGATCTATGTCTCAATTCACCATTCTTGCCGGCATTCTGCACCATATGTAGCGGGGTGAATGAGACCACAGACACAGAACTGCGGGAAGTCCCCCAGGAGGGTGCTTTATTTACACGTGGTGCTCTTCTTGCGCAGGTGAAGTGTCTGGGCAGGGGGTCACACGGTGCTCGGGGGAGAGCTGCTGATCACTCGTCCGGAGGGTCGCTGGTCTCTACACAGGAGGAGAAGAAACAAAACAGACATTAGTTTCCGCCTGGAGCTTCTCTTCCACCTCCCCCCTGTGTGCCTTCTCTCCTGGCTTTAAGGCCTGCGGGAATGAGCTCCTGTGTGTGTGTGTATATATATATATATATATATATATATATGTGTGTATATGTGCGTCACTCGGTGCTCGTGCAGGGCGGCTGATCACTCGTCCGGAGGGTCGCTGGTCTCTACACAGGAGGAGAAGAAACAAAACAGACATTAGTTTCCACCTGGAGCTCCTCTTCCACCTTCCCTCCTGTGTGCCTTCTCTCCTGGCTTTAAGGCCGGCGGGAACGAGCTCCAGCTGCGCCAATCATCCTGCACAGGTGGCGGTAGTTTGTGATTGGGGTGGGAGCGGCGTTTCCAGGGCTACGCTGATTTGGAACCGGGATACTCACCACAATATATATATATATATATATATATATATATATATATATATATATATGTATGTATATTGTAAGGCCTCTGTGAGCAGACACAAATGAACATTGAATCTCCGCATTCCACCGGAAAAACTAAGGTCTCCTCCCAACCATTTAAGAGTCGTAAAACTGAACCATGGTCAGCCCAGGCGCCAATTGTCTCAAATAAGTTCCTGTCCTGCTCAGCTTATCTTTTACGAGAAACACGAGGAGAGAGTGATTTACAAAACCCCCTCCTGGGTCGGCAAGCACTAAAACCGCAATAACTGACCCCTGCATCTGGACTCATTTAAGCAACAGAACGTCAGTGTTGTCTCGTGACTGGCATCAGCATAAATAAACGATCTAATAACCAACAGAACAAAGAACCTGGTATCTGGAAATGTTCCAGCGACAGACACTCCTGGACCCCATGACCGTTTAACGCATAAATTGATAATCCGATAAACAGAAAGCGACAGATTAATAGCTCCATGTCCGAGCGAGAAGAATGGCAGATCTACACCCGTGACATGGCCATGATCTCAGGACACCTCCCCTTTTCTCAGTGCATTCCAAAAAGGACGCACCCTTTTCTCTCTTTTCAGTCAGACAAAGGGACATGAAACTTAAAACAGACAATTTCAAAAGACAATCATTAAAAGTATAAAAGGGCAACTATATCCCCAAATAATGTTTTGTGCCTTTCTATGCTTTCTGTTTGATGTGTTATTGAAACATATGATATTTTAATCTTTGCCTTATAACTTTTCATTTTAGTAGATAAGACTATTAATGAGTATTGATAATCCGATAAACAGAAAGCGACAGATTAATAGCTCCATGTCCGAGCGAGAAGAATGGCAGATCTACACCCGTGACATGGCCATGATCTCAGGACACCTCCCCTTTTCTCAGTGCATTCCAAAAAGGACGCACCCTTTTCTCTCTTTTCAGTCAGACAAAGGGACATGAAACTTAAAACAGACAATTTCAAAAGACAATCATTAAAAGTATAAAAGGGCAACTATATCCCCAAATAATGTTTTGTGCCTTTCTATGCTTTCTGTTTGATGTGTTATTGAAACATATGATATTTTAATCTTTGCCTTATAACTTTTCATTTTTGTAGATAAGACTAGTAATGAGTATGCAAAATACCTGATGTTTGATGTTAAATGGAAGCTCGTGTCATTAGCAATAACTTAGGGGTTTTTCGGTATCACATTTTCGGTATTGTAGCGTCTGGACCACTCAAACACACAATATATATTTTGTTAGCTAGATTTAACCTCTGACTCCTTGCCTGCTGCAACACAGCATCAGGCCCCTCCAAGGGAGGAGCATCCCTTGAAACCGGTCGACACCCCCAGAAGCAGCCAGACAACGTTGGATTGAGCAACGGGCCCACATGCCCAACAGCGAAAGCTCTACCAACACAACTCAGGCAAGCTCAAGTCGGTGCCGCCACAAGAGCCAAGCGACACCGCAAACATCGGATTTCTAGTGACGTTGAGCAAAGCAGAGAGCACACAACCACCTACCGCTTTCCTGCCATCATCACTAGGTCAGTCGGAAATTCTCTACACACTATAGAATCTCCATAACAGTTCCCGGCAATCCCTGGAACCACCTGCACTCTCACCAGTGAGAGTCAAACACGGCTGTCCCACATCACGGGTACCACAGATAGCCTACTGACTAACAACATCACCAAAAACATTGTGTATGTAGTCTGTTAGACTAGTTTAAGTGTTTATGTAGTTAATAAAACCTTACTTGTATCACACTTGACGTGGTTCATTGTTTGCTCATAACTGGAGTCACTTAATCATGCAGATTTATGCTACAAGCTTTTGTAGAATTGTACAGTAAGAAAGTTATTTCCTTTAACCAGGAAATTAACGTTCTTAGAATTGACAAGACAGTTGACCCTGAGAGGTCAGCTAAATATCTACAGCGGATCTAAAATATGAATAATTAATTATAACTAGTTATGGTTAATTATTCATATTTCCTGATGAGCTGATTCGTTACAGTATCATACGCATAATTACAACCCTTTTTATAAGTATCAACCAAATCTTTATTTCGCCACATGATAAATTGAAGCATCATGTTAATGTATGCATGCTCCGCCTTGCAACAAGTCGATTGGAAGATCGCGTCGTGGGATGGACCAAATCGGGATTGCTTAAAAACCCAATGCCTGAACAGATGCTCGCTCGCTCTCTCTCTCTCTCTCTAGACCTTTGGCTTTTCACCTTGGTGACCGCGCTACGAAGCGCTCCCATGCCGTAACATCACACGAGCGAGACTCCAAAACTCAAACACTTCAGCTGAAACTTTGTGACTGCCAGAGATCTTCAAAAGCCTAAAGTCTTGCAAACTTAAACTCGCCAGGAAACCAACCAACCTCCGGAGGGCATTCCCAGAAACGATGTCATCCAGATGTCATCTCAGCATCCAATCCGAAAGCTCCAGGATTCCCTCAAGCGGCCAAGAAGGAAGCTTTTCGTCAGCAAAACGCAAGTAATGAACAAAGTCTCCTATCTGCTGAAATCGGTGCTGAATTGATCTTAAAGTATTAAACGTAAGACAAATCTCTGCTTTGTGATTCTCTCAGGTTGAATTTAAAAGAACTTGTGGAAAACGAGTTAGAACTTTGGGAACTTCATACAAACTCCATCAACTCTCATTCTTCAAAACTGTATGTGTGTGTATGTGTGTGTTTTAGCTTAGTTTAATGTAATCTAGAATAGCCAATAAATTCTTGTTTCATTTATAAAGAAGTATTGTCTTGTGTCGTATATTTTTAAAGTTAAAACTCTGCCTAGATCCTTGTTACCTTGCTCAAAAATTAATAAGATTACCATTTTGTTTATGTGTCGTTGGCCACGAAGTAATATGAACAGAATCGTTAATATACACGGACGTTAACGTCTCGCTGGACAAGTAGTTGATAAAGTGTAAACTATCAAATTTGAAATCAGTTCTATTCAGGTTGACTTCGAATCTTCAGATTTGATTCCTCTCAAAACCTGAGCTAGAAATAAAAATAATAATGAATTCCCTTATAAATGAGTTAATTTCTTACAATATATATATATATATATATATATATATATATATATATATATATATATATATATATATATACTCTTTGCTAGTTTTGACTAAACATAACCATTGAACAGTTCCACTGTTATTGCTTAGGAAAAGATACACATCATACCTCATAACACACACTGATTTTTTGGGGGGGCATTAATCATTATTGGTAGAGATACTGCTAGAGAAACCACTTTTCCTGATATGCCAGTAAAGGACCAGGTCTTAATTTCTGTGAAATAATTTGGAAAGAAGAATGAAACTGGAGAGAGAGAATGCCTTCAAAATATATAACATACATATATATGTTCTCTAATGGTTATGTCAAAATTATATAATGATATAAATGATATAAATATAAAGGCTGTTTTGTGAAACTTCCCTGGCTCACCCCCACCTATACGTGAGAGCACAGCAAGCAATTTAACGGCCGATCATTAACACATGAAAGATCTGACAGCCACCAGTCCTCACAACCAGCAGTGTTTCAGCTGTACAGTATTGTTAGAAAACACTCTCTGTCTTTCTGTTGATTCCAGACATGCCTCACCCCTCCTTTTTCTCCCTCTCTCTCATTCTTATATATACAACGCATTCTCTCTGAATCCCCCCTTCTGTATCCATCTCTCTCTCTCTTGATATTATGTTTTAAATATGTCTTACTTATATGCGAGGTATGCATGCTTAAATGTATACATTAGCTTCTCTTGGTTCAAATGTCCCAAATAAGGACATGATAGCTAGGAATGAGGTTCGTGATGAAACTCTGAAGACAGTTCAGCATTCTTCGCAAAAGTCTATTCCTAATATGTCCATGTTTTTCTGTACATGTGGCCATTTTATATAAACACATGTTCTTGGCAAAAGATCCTACGTGTATGTTATTCATATCCTCATTGGTAAAGAGGGTGAAACTCCCCTCGACATATGCCTATATAATATCTGTATTTCTATGAATAAATTGAAGTATTGAGGATACATTTGACTGTGTGTTTTCTTACTTCCCGGCCGTCTATCTACACTTTAAGTAACTGAGAATTCTTCAAGGTGGCAAAGAGAATTTACAGAGGGACTAAATTGTTATTCTTTATTAACAAGTATATGTACATGGAACTTCATGGATTCCTGTATATGTCTGTGTACACCAAGTATGTGGGTATTTTTGGAAATGTACTGTTCTGTGTAACTTGGCTTAGGTAATTTCCACATACATCCGGCAAACATGAAATTACACAGTAGTTTACCATGGCCAGTTATTACCAGATTTGACCCTTTTCATGCAGTGTTTGTAAATGAGTTATTTATAATATAAATATATATATATATTTTGATATGGAAAGGGTATGGACATTTAACAGTGAAATAACTTACACTTGATTTGAATGATACATTCAATACTTCCTAAATGGAGTCTGATAAAATTCTGTTTAAGACCCCCCCCCCCCCCCACACACTTCTCTAAGCAGCCCAAAACACCCAGCTGTACTAATACAAACCACCAAAAGTGCACACACAAAAAATATCAATATTAAATAATGTCCATCATGGATGAATGCATTGAGACAAAATAAAAAAAATAAAAAAATAAAAATAAAACAGATGAATACAAACAAAACAAAACATAAGCTTTGGTGTGGAGTGGCTGATGTTAGTAAACAAACACCATGCATCCATGCCAGTTGGTGTCATTATAAAAGCCTAAAGTAGGCTCAGCCTCACACTGTGTCTACACCGGAGCGTTGTGACGTGTCGCGACAAAAGACTTCCACAGGATTCCAGATGTGATTAGTTCCAAATGACACACTATACACTATGCACTTATATATTATGTACTCAACCATGTAGTGTATACATTTTAGAAGGTTATTTTGTTATTCATAATTAGTGTCTGATAACCCTATCCCCTCGACTATGTAAATAAAGCTGCGACAGTTGAGTGCATGAAGTGTCCAACATTTCACACTTTTTTATTCATATTATTAAGTGCATCATCCAGGTATTAAATATGCACTTTTTCTTTTTGTAATTTTCAGTGTGAAGACACTGCTCGCACTTTTTATACTACAAAACGGCATAGAATAGTGCATAAGTATGCAAATTGGGATGCACCAATTGACTCTATTTTTTGTTTAAAAACTTTTTGACCCTTTTGGCTTTCCATAGTCCGATGGGCATTGTATATGGATGTCATTGACTGAGTGGATCAGATATTTTATATTTAAGTTAGTCCATAAAAAAAGAATTGTGCAAGAACCAAAACAAATTATGAATTCCTAAAAAATTCTTCTGCAAACTGTATTTTGAGTGTATATGTAACTCATTCTGTGCACTTTTACAAAATCAAAACAACTGCTGAACATTTTGTTACTTAATTTAATTGTGTTCAACCCATTGCATGACTACATGAATCATGTTTGTTGTATTAACTGAAACTGGGCAGTGAATTTTTAGCTTCTAGCATGTAAGTCTTTTATGTTCATTTTTCTCTTACATGATCATAGTTTCTGTTATATTTAAGGGGCCCGTTTACACAACAACGTTTTCAGCCAAAAACGGGAAACTTTTTATGCACTTGCCTGTTCGTTTACACGACAACGGCGTTTTGGGGACTGAAACACATATTTTTGAAAACGGGTTTCAAAGTGCAAGTTTTTGAAAATGGCACTGTTATCGTTTTCGTGTAAACACCCAAAACGGGAGTCTTTGAAAACGGTGACGTCATGCGCGTGTGTAGTACGTGTTAGGTATATAGACATGTGCAGTACTTGTCTATTTTAAAGGCAAGCGCGAACATACATACACAACAATGGCAGAGTACATGGTACTGTTGTTGCTGCTCAAGAGTTTGCTAACGCTTCTTCAGCAAAGTATGGATTTACTTCACCAATATTACAACCAACAGCGGAAATGAATCATATACGTTTTCGCGGATATGTGTAAACGCAAATTGTTTTGAAAACGTTGTTGTGTATATGTGAAACTTTTTAAAAAACGGAAGGGAAATCTTTTCCGTTTTTGACTATATCGTTGTTGTGTAAATGTAGCCTAAGTTTTTGTGGTCACCAGTGTGCTGAATAGCAGAGCTTGTGGTTGTGCCTTCCATTTGCATGCATGTCCTGTGGACTGAGGACACAAAACTACAAAAGAATAAATCTAACTACTTTAACTTCCAGCTGAAATTAGGATAAAAATGCCTTAGTTGCATTGTTCTGTTATTGAAAAGTCAAACTGTGAAATCATTGCTTTTCCATATTCAGTAGTCCAAAGGGTCATATATTTGAGTGGGTATGAAAAGCACTTAATTATCAGGACCGTCACTCACAGGAATCACAGCCCTAACCATTTCCCACAGGAAAATTAAACAAAGGCCTACATTAGCATATGTGACCCTTCATTGCGCATATGATGCATAAGAGCTCCACAGAGCTTCCGCTAGTAGCAAGGGCCTTCAACTTTGACCTTTCATCCCTCTTATATTTCATACTTCCATAACGATCCTTCATAAAGACTTTGATGGATATTACTCGTTATCGGATTAAGGTGTCACTGGACTGTCACGTTATATATATATATATATATATATATCTCACAGAAGTGAGTATACCCCTCACATTTTTGTAAATATTTTATTATATCTTTTCATGTGACAACACTGAAGAAATTACACTTTGCTACAATGTAAAGTAGTGAGTGTACAGCTTGTATAACAGTGTAAATTTGCTGTCCCCTCAAAATAACTCAACACACAGCCATTAATGTCTAAACCGCTGGCCACAAAAGTGAGTACAACCCTAAGTGAAAATATCCAAATTGGGCCCAATTAGCCATTTTCTCTCCCCGGTGTCATGTGACTCATTAGTGTTACAAGGTCTCAGGTGTGAATGGGGAGCAGGTGTGTTCAATTTGGTGTTATCGCTCTCACTCTCTCATACTGGTCACTGGAAGTTCAACATGGCACCTCATGATGCATGCCCAGTTACTTTTATCACAGCCAATTTTGACGGTAACTGTGCTGCATGAATCAGTTCAGCCACAAAAAAAATAATTATTGCTTTACATAAAGGCTATAAGAATATTGCCAAGACCCTGAAACTGTATATATATGTGTGTGTGTGTGTGTGTGTATATATATATATATATATATATATATATATATCTTCTATATATATATATACACACACACACACAGAGTTCTGGCATGAAACTCTAGATGGCGCAGTCCGATAGGTCTAGCTCAATCTGACCTGGTGACATCATTGTCACATGGCAGCTGATTAAAGCGCTTCAGATCAGCCTAAATCAATATCTAAGATGAGTGAATGCTCTTTTAATCCATTTCGCTGTGTATATTTGCGTGGTCTACCTAACTGAATACAAAATGAGCAACCGTAAACAATTTTAAAGTGTAATGTTAGCAGTTTGCATTGTATGCAGCAGCGAAATATTAAGCATATTAGCAGCAGCATTTAGCATGTTTATACAGCTGGAGCAAAAGGCAGTTTAGAGCTTGTAATCACTCTGAGGACACATAGTAACAAACCTGAAATGAAAGGTTAAATGAAATAAGCATTCTTGTGTATGCATTTCAACTGGGGTTCTCCATATACATCGGTGATTATCCCAGTGTTCATGTTCGTTATTTCTAAGGTCGATGTTTTCATTGTGATGAATGCGTGGTTGATTTCAGTTGCATGCAGCGTCAGAAGCACGCGCTTATCACAGTCATATCAACGATAGTGTTGCGGTAGAAGAGAATTAAGAGTTATCGCGATAGTTGTTGCAGTTCTGAGTGAAGTGCATTATGGGTAGGGTAGTTCGGAGAAATGTGCTTGTGTGACGTGTGCTATCGTGTGTTGTGTAATTAATAAAACGGAGAAAGAACATTTATATTCTGCTTTATTTGTTCATTCAAGTCAGTCCACCCAGGAGTTTGTGCACTGTAACCCTGATAATTTTATCCACACGAGAGAGTAAAATGGCATGTATCAGCTAACTTTGTCCGTCTCATCATTGCACGAACACGAATTAACGAGCTGTTATGCTGCCGC